GCGGCGACTTAAGGCAAAGCGGTCAACATGATATATAGCTGCGGCCTTTCTAAGACTTAATTTTGGGTCATTCTGGAGGGCCTGAAGGGCAAGAATAATCTTAGCTTCATTTGGAGACTCTGGCATATTGGATTGTTGAGAAATATCTGATTGAAAAGTGATAGTGTAGGTTGAGGGATTTTTGGAGCACTCGCTTGTCTGGAGCACTCGCTTATCATGCACGTTATCAGGTTTTACTTATGTAATATTATATTGTGGGGCTCTTGCCTCTGTAAAGTTTGATTTAAGTGTAATTTTAAGGGCTTATTAATACTTTACACTTTACTCACCCTACAGCCTTTACTATACCCTAATGCAGCTTACTAAGGTGTAATAGGTTTCTTTCAAGGTTCGGGAATTAACATAGCCCCGTTGGTCATACTACTGGTAGTAGATGATGTGAGACAGCACTTACTTTCGTTGGCAGGTAGTTAGTACCTCACACAAGAACAACCCATTCGTAGTAAATGCAGAGCTTACGTTACTATTTCGTAGTTTGATAGAGCTTGTATCGGCAAGAGCGTCATGCTCGAAATCAGTCCAGGCAGGTCTATGGAGATGACCTTTTGAATAATACTGCCGTTTCTCGAATAGTGTAACTTTGAAGGAAGTACTCCAGAAAGTACTATTAGCTGTATGAGATGTCGCGCAAATGAGAAAATGGATAAACTTCCAGGTCTTCTTAAGTATAAAAGTCGCTTGAACTGTCGTTGAAATATCGAAACTACACTCACAGCTATTACTTTCTTCGCAACTTAAACCATTATAGACTACATTTATGCCTTTGCCCTTTTTATGAAAAAGAAGCACTTATTTATTTACCCCGAGTCTCACCCTCAACATGCATTTTGAAATCGCCGCTGGTATATCTCGCTCGCTATAAATGTCTCCGCTAACCGTATGGAGATCTTTACCAAGTGTACTCTAGGCTGTGATAGCTTAGACGCCTTTGTCTACACAGACTATAGCGCCTATAAAATCAATGCCAATAAAGGCTACTAAAGTACCTTAATATTAAGTATAGTCAGGTTCTGTGTAGACTGGGTCAAGAGGCGTTTACACTTCAAGTTCTCTAGGTAAAATTAGCACTGCCTAATCTACAACTCAGAAAGTGCCTATGGCTGCGTATATAATTCCTGCTGGAAGACGACCTGGAAGGAGATTTCCTGCTACTGGCGCGAGGCCCCGAATCCTAATACCAAGAAAGAGCCTATATCTTTTACTGCTGCAGTTAAGGCAACTGCAAGTGCATTCACCGCCTAAGGGCTCTTACTATACAGGACTTTATAGGAAGTTTTTATTTATTAAACTCTTTTATTTATCTATCTTTTTATTACTTAAATAAAGACCTATTAGTTAAGAAGCTAAAATTATAAAGTAAATATAGAGAACTTTAATAGAACTGTTTAGTTATACTTAAAAGTATATTATTAGGTTTTAATTATATATTTAACTATTTTATACTTAAACTTAAAATTTCTAATATATTTATAATTCTTTAAAGCTCCCTTTTAACTTTAAAGTGTTATAGTATTCTCTATATAAACCTACAATTTCTGCAAATCAACTTAAGGCAGTTTGAATAAGAAAAACGCTTGCTCCCACTCGACAATGCTCTCCTGTGCCGTTAAAATTTCCAAAAGACTTAAAGCTAGCTTTAGAGCCAAGGCTGCCAACAAGGAGCTTGGCCTGCCCAGGAAAGAATATATCATCCTCTGCGCTACCAACAAAGACAGAAGCTCGAATGCAGTCTGTAAGTCCAGTGAGGTTATATCGTTGCGATTTTAAGAGCTAAGTGTAGGGACTATTCTTATTGAAAGCCCAGAGACCTTGCTGAATAGCCCATCGTATTGATGCTGGAGTTAACGGGTTTTGCAGAAGCTGTCTCGTCATACAGTCCAGGACAGTTGCATCGTGATTTTCGAATAGTCTTTGGAAAGACGCTTCTTGACAATCTTACACCACAGATGCGAAGTCATACACACCATCTACAGCAAATACTGCGGCAAGGCGGTGTTCAAAAGCTGCAGCACGTAGCGCAAGCATGCCACAAAAGGAATACCCTAAAAGACCAGTGCTCTTTAACCCATTTTCTGGATGGGTCAGAAGATAGTCAACCACGGGTGTTACTACTTTTTCCCACCCATGAATGAAACTTAAGTCTTGCTTTCGCCTTACGGTTGGTTGGCCAGGTCCTTTGTACGTAATGACGTTCATTCCGCGTTAGACAATAGCCTTGCCCATAACGTGGAGCATCTCTTACTGGCCTCCATTATAGCCGTTGCCTAGAATGATTGTCGGTTGCGCTTCCTTTTTGTTACTGCTGTAGAAAATGGCAGGAATTTAAAACTCACTATTAGTAAAAGCTAGAAATAAGTTTAAAATAAAAAAAAAAAAAATATATAGCTATAGTAATATTTATATTTACATTTATATAAATAGAGATTTTATTAAAATCCTTCTTAAGAGGCTTTTATAAGTATTATTTTTAACCTTATATTAAAAAAATACTTTATAATAAAATAAATAAATAAAGTAATATATTATATAATATTAAATTATATAGTTTAAAAAGTTTATTATAAAGTACTTAATAGATAAAATAACTTATGTAAAATAATAAAAATAATATATTATTTAAAGTTATTTAAATAACTAATTTAATATTAAAATACTTATATCTAACTTATTAAAACTCTTATAGTAAAAGACACACTCCTTTTATGGTTTTATAGGGTTAATACTAGTTATTATATCAGCAGAGTTAGCCCCTCTATTTATATCCAGCATTAGCTCAGGTTCTATTTTATATCAAACAAGGCAAACATTAAAGAGCAACAAACCAAAATGTCATCACAAGCGGGACAAACCCCAAAACCGCTTTCTATTAAAGAGGAACAAAAACTAGGGCAGCAGAAGACGCACGCGATTGCGAGGGCGCAAAAGCAAGCAGCGATGCAACAACAAACTGCACAGCATATGGGAGCCGGGAATCAGATGGGTTACCAGCAGATGGGGATGGGCCAGCCTTATAACGACATTCCCGCCACTGATCCAAGCGACATAGATATTCTCACTGGAAGAGGAGTCAATGTACCGGACTTTGTAAAATTTCTGTGTACTTGCTGAGACGGTGACTTATCTACTCTCGAGTCAATTGTTACCTCTCAAACCCGCTCGCCACTGTTCCTTCACCATGGCATGCTTGATGCCATAAAAAACGGCAAAGTCGAAATTGTACGCTATCTTCTGCAGTCTGGAACACCGATTTCGCGAAAAGTCCCAGAGACTATCCTCAGAGCCCCAGCGGATCAACAAGTTGCTTTATTTCAGCTTCTCACTGAAAATGGCTGGACAGTCAATTCGCTAGAGCGTCTCCTCCCAAGACTCATTCAAACAAACAACGAACCTTTGCTTGACTGGTTCCTGGAGCATGGCGCAGATCCGAACATTGGCGGTCCCGAAGGAGATCCAGTCCAAGCTCTTAGATTAGCAGCCTCACAGGGGACAGTTAAATTAGTGCAGAAGCTTCTCAATGGCGGAGCCAAGATGACCAGCAACGGATTGGGGTTATTCTATGCTCCAGGTGCTTGTCCAGCCGGTTTTATTCCCCACACTGGACTTGTTCAACCCAGTGCTGAGTTTGACAAGTCTAGAATACCCATTATGGCACTGTTAATAGAAAATGGCGCTGGTGTTAATGGCAAACTTGAGACAAAGCACATGACAGCGCAATACCCCATTGTAAATGCTGTTATGGCCGGTGCTTTTGAGAGAGTCAAGTGGCTGTTGAGCCAAGGCGCTGATCCTGATTTGCAGGGCCAGTACGGCAGTGCCAGAGACTACGCCAAGTTTAGGTCGAGCGATGAAATGAAACAGGTACTAGGAGTGAGTGTTACATAGGACCCCATTAGGATCGGGAGTTAAATTACAATGTGGATCTACTTTATGTCGATTGTTTGGAAACCTGCTCATGCATGCATGAATCTGCTGACAGGATTGAGGAATCACAGATTGCAATCTTGCGTTATTGCGCAGCCCAAATGTCAGCCTTGATCTGTTTAAAATTAGCAAGGATAGTTCAGGGATGGGACGGATAGCTCATGGGCCGGCCTAGCCGGTAGGATTCTCTAGCCTTCACTCTGTAATCTCTGGGGCTAGGGGCCAGGCTTAGGTGAGACGGCAGTTATTTAGCGGATCATAACACGATGAGCGATTTCAATGCCAGTATCTATTTACCAGCTTGCTCTTTTACATAAAGACGAGATTTGTATTTTTAATTTATTTTAGATGACATACTTATTATTACATAGAGAAACGGAGTTTGTCAAACTTAAGGCAATCGTGATGTCTTATTTAGGCGACGGAACAAACTTTCTGTTGTATTTACTTGTTTATCGTTTATTGCGAGGTTCAAGGATATTTCTGAAACACGGAAGGATCCGCTAATGTCGGCAGGCTTCAGGGGTTTTGCTCACTATAACCAATGAACGCCATTGATTCTAACGCGCTGATAGCTTGGAGGAAGCGTTAATTATAGCAAGCGTAAGCACTAATGCTTAAGGGATTAGGGCTGTACCTGTGTCACTGTAACCTCATTCACGTCAACCCTGGGAAGCAATGGAAGGGCATATTCCGATCAACCAAGCTGTGCCAGCACAGAGTCGATATATAGAATGCTTTGTGCGCGACGCCTTGATCCAGCGTTCATTTGTTAGAGCCTCTGAGTTTCTTTCACACTCTAGTTTGGTATAGTCCTCCCTTTTCTCTCCGTCATTCGTTTACGCCGAGATGCGTGCCACGTTCTTTGCCCTGGCGGCGCTGCCATTCTGTGCAATTGCTCAAGATCCGGTTCCTGAAGCCGCGCCCACTACTACCACCACTACCTCTGAAGCTTTCATTCCACCAGTGATTGATACGTCCACCGACATTCCTGTTGACCTTAACCCTACTACTACCAATGCTATCGTTGTGCCTCAGTCGACCTCGGAAGCAATTAAAGAGAACCCGCAGCTGACCACTCAACCTGTTCCTGGTATTCAAGATACGACAACGTCCCAAGATGTTATCCAGGCTCCTACTTCACAAGCGCCACCTGTTGTCCAAGATACAACTACAGGCCCTGCGCCTGTCATTGACACCTCTCAGCCCCTCCTACAGGAGGGTACGACTCAACCTAATGCTCAAGACACGACCACTGGACAGCCTATCATCGAGGATACGACCTCACAACAGGTACCCCCTGTCCGAGATACAACAACGGAGCTGCCGCCTCCAATTACGACCAGCACATGGCTCCCTGTAGCTGATACCACCAACCAGCCCATCATCGAGACCCCCGGTTCCTCACAAGAGCCTGTTGCTCAGGAAACCACTACGGACGTGCAATTGCCCGCTGTGCCTACAACAACATCGGATGCTGTTCTTGGTGTAACCACCGAGACCAACAACCCTCTCCCAGATACCACGACTCAACAACAGCCAATCATTGAGAGTACCACGACTGGCATCCCGACTGCTGAGACAACCACTGCTCACGTACCCATACAAGATACTACAACAACAGCTGCTGAGCAGCCTGCTCAGACCACTACGCAGCACCAGGAGCCTGAGCCTACCTCCGATGAGTCCAAGCCAACTAGTAAGGATGACGGCGAGCCTGGCATCACCCAGCCCCCAGCCCAAACAACGGTCGCTCCTGAGGTGGCCACGTCGGCCGTTTCCTCCGTCTCTTCGCAGGTCGCCGCCCTTATCCCCGTCATCAACAAATGGACTGAGGACCCTGAATCTCTCACCGATGAGACTAACAAGGAGGTCGAGGACACTCACGACGACATCATCGCTGTTATCGTGTCTCTGGGCGGCAAACCCGATGTTGGCTGCAACAAGAAACGCGGCCTGCTTGGACCTATTAGTGATGTCATCAACAAGCTCGCTTGTATGGCGCAGGATCTTACCAACATCTCGGGCAGCATCATTGCTGGTAACGTGCCTGCCGTCACCAGTGTTGTTCCTCAAGTACAGAGCCAGAACGACGATCTGACTGAGGAAGATGAGGAGAATCAGAGCCAAGAGGAGCAAAGTAAGGAAGAGTCCACCAAGCAAGAGGAGACGACAAAGAGGGAATCTACTACAGAGGCTCCTACAACCACCGAAGCCCCTACGTCAACGGAGGAGTCTACTACCACTGAAGCCACCACCACGACTACTGGGCTTCAAGTACCTTGTGGTGCCGATACTTGCGGTGGTGGTGGTGGTGGTGGTTCTTGTCCTATTGGGTCTGGAGGGTCTAAAGGAGGACAGATGGGTAGCGCGGCTGGCGAAGTCAACTGCAATGACCTCCCAACGACTACTATTGATGGATCCCTCCCTACAGATCCTTCCAAGCCCATTGACTTCGGTGAGGATCCCTTTACTGCTCCTACTGCCCGCGCCGAGTCTTTATCCTCACCGTCCAAGCGTGATATGGAGCTAGGAGCTCGAGCATTCAACGATGACATGTCTCCCAATCCCTTCTATGTTGCCTCCCTCACGCCCCTTTGGGTCGATCAGACTGGAGCCACAGCTGGACACTGGTTTGGCGCTCCCCCTTTCGCTGGTAAAGGCTCTGCTGGAGTCAACGGCATCTATGGCTGCACGTCGGTCATTGTCGTGTCTGACTTGGGTGTCTATGTGTCTCACATCTGGGAGAACCCTGTCTTTATCGACAGTTTCGGGAACCCAACGCCTGATGCAGATTTCCAGGCAACTACTTTCAACGCGCTTCGTGATGGTACTATCGACGCCAATGCCGAAAGCATTGCTGGTTATGTTGGTACCGACGAGCTCCCCGGCGTGCTGCATTCCATCTTCCACCCCAGGGTTTTCGTTGTAACTCCTTTCGCCACCGACTATGATCGTAGCATTGGCGTCACCACTGCTCTGCGCTACGAGGCGCGTGCAAACTACTTGGCGACTGCAGTCTCGGGTATTGTTCCTGGATCTGATTATACCGTTCTTGGTTACACACGAGTTGGTGAAGTAGAATCCAAGGAGCAGTACGGAACGTGGGGTCGCGCCATCGTTGAGTATGATATGCTTGAGGAAATCGTCTTTGGCTCGGATGGCGACATAACGGGCCAATTCATGGGTCGATGGAGACTCTGGGTCGAGGACCAGCTTGTCACTTCACACAAGTTCCTCGTCTTCCCTGATCCTGTTGCCCTTCCTGAGACAACACCTGCTGCTACCCCTGCTGCGGGTCTTCAGAAGCGTGCCGACGAGGAGGCTGCCAGCAAGTGCTTGGTCCGCGGTGGCTCCACTGGTGCCACTTCAGCCGGTCCCACTTCTACAGACAAAGCTGCTACTACGGCTGATGCCACTTCTACTGCCGAGACTTCAGAAGCCCCTACTACAGATGAGAGGACTCCTGGGGCTACTGGAACAACCACTGCCGAAGAGAAGACCACCGAGGCTGCAGGAACAACCACTAGTGAGGACAAGACCGGAGAGGCTACTACAACTCAGCCTGAGCCTGCCTTAACAACCTCTACCCCAAGCACCTTCATCACTACGACTAGAGCCTCGTCCGAAGCCATCACATCCGATGTCACGTCTGATGCAGCAACAACTAGTGAGGAAGTTCGCACTTACTACCCTTGCGTGATCTATGGCGGACCTCGTGTCGACAAGCCATACTGTCAATGCAGCACCACAGTCTCTGGGAAGCAATACGTCACTTCAGCCTCCCTGATAGACAACAGCTGCGAGGACTACACTTCGTATCCGTCCCCAGTCGTCCCCGTAACCGAGGCCCCAGCGACCCAAGCCCCAGTGCAAACTCCCTTCACTGAGACCAACGACGGCACCGTTCTGGTCTACTCAGCTTACACCCTCGAGTACTTCATGGCGTATACCGTCCACGTCACAGCAACGCGTGGCTATGGTGTGCCATCGACCGTTTCTACACCTGTACCTACTCAAACTGCTGTTGACAACGACGGCAGCGGCCAGTGTGGAACAGCCGATAGCTTGTCAAAGAAGGGACTGGGTGAGGCTTGTGATCGAGCTATCAATGAGTTCGATGCCGATACTGTGTATAAAGGCTACACGACGCGATACAGCCGGTCCAACAAGGGTATTCTGATGGCTGCCTCGTTTGGTCAAGCTGCTTGTATCGCTAAGTTTGAGTGCGATGACTACGGTATTGGAATGAAGGGCAGCGATATCATTGCAGCTCGTGAGAATGCTAAGACGAACGATGGTATTTGGATTTGTGGACATATCCGCCTGTCCAACTCGTGCAGTGTCATCATGGACTACTGTACAAACTGTAAGAACAGCGGTTAGGTTCTTATTCTTTGGGCAGATAACATTGCGACCATTTCTCTTCCTACATGACTTTGAGTTTCTTAATAACGCTTTGCATTAAGCTTTTACACAAGACTGTTCATAATGTTCTGCAAGAAGAGAACGACTTATAAGTATCCTAATCATAAAAGCCGATAACATATATCATGCTGAACAAAGGCTCAGCAGCTCTGCCTGTATCAAATTCTAGTTACTCGTCTCTTGAGCCAACCTGAATTGGCTCACGAATCTTCTTTCAGCGGCATTCCTTTCCGTAGACGTGATCTTTCCTTGCTGGACATCACCCCAGGCGCCGCCTCCAGGGGTATCAATCACGAACCAATCGCCCGCCTCAACTTTGAAGTCTTTGCGGCCGCCAACTCGGCACCATCGGCCGGCTTCACCACCCTTGACGATGTAGTTCACACCTGGCTTTCCAGCTTCGCCACCCTTCATGCCATATGGCCTAGTCACACGCCTCTCACTGACAACAGAACAGCCCATGTCACGACCAAACTCGTAAATCCGGCGAATGCCATTGCCACCGTTCCACTGACCCTTACCACCAGAATCTTCTCGTATACTGAATTCGCGTAGGACTATAGGATATCGCTTCTCTATGATCTCTGGATCGCAGATTTTGGTGTTGGTCATGTGGACATGTACGCCGCTTGTGCCGTGCCACCCTGGACCAGCACCGCTCCCGCCGCATATAGTCTCACAAAAGCCAAATCCTGTGCCTGGTATCAAATCTCCAGTTGCAGTGTCTATATTGCCATCGATACCAAAGGAAACAACATTGCAGTCTCCTTGACTGGCCGCAGATGCTGCAAATGCCTTGATAAGCACATCTGTCACTCTCTGTGATGTGATAGGATTGCCAGCACACACGGCAGCCTCAGGTGATGGGTTAAGAATGCTACCCTCTGGAATTGTGAATGTCAGAGGGCGTAGACAACCTTCGTTCAGAGGGATGTCCTGGTTTATGAGGCAGCGCATGACGTAAAGAGTCGCGCTTCGTGTGATGGCCTGAGGTGCGTTGAAGGAGTGGTATCCTTGCTCACCGGTACCAGTCCAATCAAGGTGTGCTGACGCTGTGTCGGGATCAATAGTGATGGTGAGCTGGATAGGCGTGCCATCATCCATGTGATCGAGTGCAAATAGAGGCTTTCCTCCAGTTTCTTTATACGTGCGCAAAAGGAAGTCTCGTACACATGCCTCGGCATTGTCGGTAATAGCGTGCATATTGAAGTGGACATTTTCAAGACCATGTTCTGCTATCAGTTCAGACACTAGGGAAGCGCCCTTTGCGTTCGCTGACACTTGAGCCTTCAAGTCGTTGATGTTATCAGCGAGCTTTCTTGTACCCGTACAGCCAGGAAGTCTAGATGGCTCCTCTAACATGATCCTCGTGATCATCTCTTCGTCAAATATGCCATCTCTAACGAGAAATTCTGACACAATCATAGCTCCCTCTTCGTACAGGCTGACACTACCAGCAGGCATAGAACCGGGAAGAATCCCTCCAATCTCTTGGTGGTGCCCTCTCGATGCGGTGTAGAAAATGATGTTATTCCCCTCGTTGTCAAAGACGGGCGTGATACAAGTGATGTCCGGCAAGTGTGTTCCACCCGAGACCGGGTGATTCGCAACAAGCACGTCTCCAGGTCGGAGCTGTCCTGTGTATTTATTGTGCTGATACATGACAGCCTGCTCCATGGATCCTAGATGGACGGGAACATGAGGAGCGTTGGCAACAAGACGACCATCAGGACTGAACAGGGCGCAGCTGAAGTCTAGACGCTCCTTGATGTTGACTGAGACACTCGTCTTCTGCAAAGCATGGCCCATCTGCTCCGCGATGCTCATGAAGCGGTGAGACAAGACGGTAAGCTGGACAGGATCAACTGTTTTTAGGCCAGAAACTGTTTCTCCAACACCCTTTAGCTGTCGCTGGCCCTCTAGCTCAATAACAACATGGCGTTCAAGAATAATCGCCTTAGCATCAGGACTGACAATGATGGTCTGGAGGTCATCAAGGATAATAGCAGGGCCTTGAATAAGACAGCCCTTACCCAGAGAGGTGAGGAGGTACAAAGGAGCTGTGGACCAACCGCTCTGGAAATAGACTCGGACCCTGTCCGAGATTTTGTCTTTTGAGACACTTTCCAAGGGAGAGGCCTCCATTTGCTTCTCAAGGTTGAAGCCTGGCTCCACAGAAGGACTCTGTGCCGTGGCCCGTACTCTCACATTCTCAACAAGAATATCACGACCGGACATTATAAAAGAGAATTGTCTCTTGTGTTCGTTTGTGAAAGCCTCAGACCATGTTCCCTGATTGGGACGTGCAATCATAAAGGTCGTGTCAGACCCTACGTATCGAAGGTTCAGAAAATGTTGAAATGTGATAGACTGGGGTGATGCGCCATCCGAAACAAGCTTCTCGACAGCTTTGAATTCCAAGTCCCTGAGTCGGGCATCAAGCTCTGTCAAAGAAGCCTCGAGGGGCAAAGAGCATGGGAGTTGAATATCATGGACAAGATCTGCCAATGCCATACCATAAGCAGACAAAATAGAGGAGTAACGATGGATCAAAATTCGATCAATGCCAAGGTTCGCTGCAATAGCCTAAGCTTTCATTAGAAATGATGTCGTTTGTGAATAAAAGAAAGTGGTCAACTTACGCAGGCGTGTTGTCCTCCAGCACCACCAAATACGGCCAGCTCATGGTCCGAGGTGCGGTACCCTTTGGCTTCAGTCAGGGATCGAATAGGTCGGCACATGGTCTCATTCGCGACTTGCAAGAACCCAAGGGCTAGTTCCTCAACTGTCTTTGTAGGAGCACCGGCAGCCGTCATATCAGCATTGACGACAGCCAACAGCTCCTCGAACGCTGCCCTACTCCCTTCGTAGTCTAGAGGCTTATTCTCATTTGGACCGAATATTTTCGGAAAATACTCAGATTGCAGGCGTCCCAAAACGAGATTGGCGTCAGTCACAGTCAGCGGCCCCCCTTTGCGATATGCAACAGGACCCGGGTGGGCACTGGCAGATTCTGGCCCAGCGAGGAAAAGACCGTTACTGTAGGATAGGATACTACCACCTCCTGTTGTAAATGAGTCAACGTTGGACTTGGCATCATCTAGTTCTTGACTGACCTGCTGCAACTGTATCCACTTCGAGCTGTGGGCTTTGAATCGTGATTCCCGCCGTAATGGACTCAAAGGTGTGCTCAAGGTGACCAGCATACCTTGAGACATCTGTACTGGTACCACCCATGTCAAATCCAATCACAGGTTTGCGGCGCTGTTGGTCGTAGCATGTACGACTGAAGCCAACCACACCGCCTGCGGGTCCAGATAGAATAGCCTTGAGGCCACTGAAGTTCTGCCAGTTGACGAGGCCACCATCGCTTTGCATAAACTCGCATCTAGCTCCATTGGAGTCTTCAAGGTTACCTACAAAGCCACTTCGGAAGCCATTGACGTAAGCTTTTGTGAGTGGCGTTAGATAGGCGTCAGCAGTGGATGAGTAGCCTCTTGAGATGGCTTTGATCATGGGAAAGATTTGTGATGAAAGGGAAACCTGCGTAAATCCTATCTCATCTGCTAGACGAGCCAGCTCTAGTTCATGGTCAGGGAATGTATACGAGTGAAGTAGCGTGATTGCCAAAGCCCGGACCCCTTGTTCAAACAGACTCCGTAGGCCCTGTCTAGCTCCCTCGATGTCTACACTAAAATGTTAGTTGACTTTGGTCAATATTTATCCTCAACGAACTTGCTTATGGGCTTAAGAACCTGGATAAACTCCCCACCAACCCCTCTCCTGAGTCCCAGCATCTTCTTATCTGTATCGGTCAAGGCTGTCACGTCTTCAGTGGAATCGTATAACGTCACTCGCTCGTCGATCTCGAGCACTTCTTTGAATAGTGTCTCTGGTCGACGAATATTGATATCGAATAGCTTTGGTCTTGTTTGGTCACCAATCTGCAACAGATCCTTGAACCCTCGCGTCACTACCAGTGCACAAGGTGTTGAAGATCGCTCGAGTAATGCATTTGTGGCTACCGTGGTGCCCATTTTGATTGATTCAATCTCACTTGTATCAATCTTTTCGCCTCGTGGTAAGGTCTTACCCGTGGCGGCTTCGAGAATACGACGGATGCCTTCTATGGGAGCATCGGCGTAGTTTGTTGGGTCATTGCTGAGAAGCTTGACAAGGATATCCGGTTTCCCTGGGGCTATGCCGAGACAGTCCGTGAATGTTCCTCCGCGATCTATGGCGATGCGGATCTTTGACGCTGGCGATGTTGACTCGTTAATAAAGGGCATTTTGCAGTATTTAGCTTAGTAGCTGAAATGACTTTAGAAACAGACAAGTAAAATTGGAAGACTGGCAAGTCGAGGAGACTAGATGTTGTGAAAAGGAATATCTTATAAATAACTTCCCATGATAGTTTTCACGACACTATTTGCAGCAAGCTCAAGAACTGGAAAAGATATCTCAAATTGACCTAGGACATTTCCACTCGGTGCCTATGTCCGTAGCCGTATTTGCCAATGAGTCAATGCAATGTTACCCAATCCGTTATCGTAGACTGCGGGGTTCATTTGCCTCTGTCTGTACTATCGGACAATGGGCGGCGACAAAAGTGCGATGGCTGCCCCCGCATTCCAGATATGGATAACAAAATGTAGCCCGATCGGAGTCGTTGTCCGAAACCTGGTGGCGGCATGTGTCACAAGACTATCAACGCTGACTCGCGTTGCGACAAGGCAGAGCGACAGTGCAAATGCGGCATGTTGCGGTGAGCTAAACAAAGATAGCAAGCATTTTGACGTCGAAGTATCTGCGTAAAACAGGTTGTATTGGTTTCATGATGTCTTCATGGTCGATTGACAGTACGTTAACTGGGAGGCGATAGGTCTTTCTCTCAAATCAAACCATAACCCGAAGCTTTGACACAGCTGTTGTGACAAGTACTCTACAAAAGGGTTACAGATCGGCTCAATATCTTTGCATGTCCCTCCGAGCGAACGGGTCATATGCGTATAAGCTACTGGTCTACAAGGGCCAACCAGAATGGTAACATGGGGTTCCCATTGTACAAAGTTGACAGAAGTGGACTCTAGCTGTGCCTAGTGGAAAATATTACCCATTAAGTCGGTACCCAATAGCATCAACAAGCAAGATTTTAGTTGAAAGTACAGCATTTACGCGTTGAATCATGTATTGACATGCGCAGAATTGTATTAGCGATACTCTAAACGATACATTTCTGTGGTATAGCTAACTGTAATACAAGGACAAACAGACTGCAAAAGTACGACAAGTCCATGGAAATAAACTCAACGTGACCTAGGATGTTCCTCAGACAATATCACAAGCTACCAAACATAGCGGAAATGAATGTTCTGCTTATCTATGAGATCACGAAAATCTGTGTCAACATGCACAGCAGCGCTGGACTCGTTGTCCACGGCATCCCTTCGCCGATTTTCCCACCAGCAGTACGACCCGTAGAAGATCATGATAATCATTGCCAACCCATAACTGCAAAGAATGGCGCCCATTCCAAGTGGGTAGAGAGGCGCCTGATCTGCCTTGAAAAACTGAGGCCCAATAATGTTGGACACGCAGTATGCGATGAAGACGAGAGCATTGACTGTAACCTTCTTGGTGTGGCCTGCAGTGTTCGCCGAGTTGATACCGAGAGCCACGACATACGGTCCGAAATAAAAGTAAGACATGTACAAAGCCGCAAGACGATTATTGAAGTCCTCTGTCGGGAGAGTATATAGGAAGACAGCTGAGATGAGGCCGACTACAATACCAAGCAAGACCCAGGCAGTGCGGCACTGCTTCTTGGGCAAGTACTTTGCGCACAAGAAAACGCCGCCATTGCATAAATATGACGAGATGGTCTGAATGATACCCGTTGGCATCATGAGCAGTGTGGACCGTTGCGGTGTATAGCCGAGACCCTGAACGACAAGAGGTGCAAAGTTAGTCAGACCGCCATTGGGAATGGAGATGACGATGTTGAACATGAACATGAGCCATGTCTTAGGATCCAAGAAGGCCTCAATCATCTGATCCTTCTTGAACGTCTTGTTTTCGACGCCTGTCTGGTCGGCACGCAGGTGATCAATCACAATGGCCTTCTCACGCTCGGTGACGAACTTGGCTTTGACAGGGCTGTCGGGTAGAAAGAGACCGAGAACAAACGCCCAGACGATGGTAATACCACCGCATATCCAAAACATGGCCCTCCACTGATGCTCACCAGCCAAGAAGCCAATACCCCAGCCGATAGGGCCAGTGAAGCACACTGACAGGCCAGTGTACATGAGGCCTGTCCTAATGGGCTGCTCACTTCGTGTGTACCACATGCCGAGGATAAGAAAGTTTCCGGGGACAATTGGGGCTTCGAGAGCACCGAGGAGGACGCGTAGAGCGATCAGCGTCGGAAAGTTATTGGCAAAGCTAGTTGCGATGAGGATACCTCCCCAGACGATCTGAACGACGAACATGAGCTTGGCGACGGGGAATCTCTGAAGAAGAGAACCGCTTGGGAGACACCAAATAAGGTAGCCAAACTATAGGGTAGAGGAGTAATATTAGTATAGAGTTCAGATAGACTACGATGCAGGGACATCACTCACATAGAAAGCACTCCCAACCCAGCTGTATCGATCACCCGTGAGATCATTATCCTTTCGGAAACCGTACAGCGCAGCAGTTGCAGTCGTGACTTTATCCATAGCTCCTAACGTGATGTTGAACCACAGAAGGGGCACCAGGCGAATGTCGAGTTTCCAGCGCAACCTAACCCATTCCATGCGGCTATAAGAATCACCATTGGCGAATTGGTCCGCATACTGAGCGGCAACATCGATGTCCTTGCCATCAGTGATTTTAGGTTCAATGACTCCGGGAGCGATGGAGGAATTGGTCTCTAACTCGTTTGGAGACATACTATGCTTTTCTTTGATCATGACGGGTGACGAAGCTGTGCAAGCCATGTAGAAAGGGACAAAATCGGAAAGAGGAGAATATGTATTAGGATGAAACTGGAGTGGCCCAGTCAAAATTGGTGAGAGGAAAGACCCTTAATATTCGTTTTGGTTGCTAGTTATAATGCAACGGTCATGCCGACAAATATGGTGGCTTGACTGGAGGAGGGGTTGCTACTGTCCATGTAAGGAGGACTCATACGTGAGTTAGGTCATATAAAATATAGTGGTGTTGATGGCTATTAGATAGACTCAGATATCAGGGTACTGGATAATACAAGCAAAGTTTATCAAGGGTGCCAAAGGCAGAGTTCATGCCGTGCCGAATTGTATCCAAGAGCAGATAATCTACGCACCAGATACTGTCGTTCGCTAGGTTAGCCGGGATAAGGCCAAACCGTGGAGGCGGGGTTATCAGTGGCATTGGCCGGCCGAAAGTGCGCTACCTTATCAGTTCCCTGGTGGAGCTAGGCACAGAAACCCACCATCGCAGTCCAAAGTCCGACAGGATATCATATGATTTGTGTGTGGCTGTCATCCATTAGCTTAGACTCATATCTCCTGTGATAGTTTAGACAACTTTGACTCGCTTGCATTAGCCATAGCATACATAAGTTGCATTAAAATAAACCCTTGTTAGCGTTCGCAGTTATGTTCCCCAGTCTTATCTTTTGTCGGGCTCAAAAGTCCGACAGCCATCTCAGCCAAGGCCTCAACCCCGACTATTCCCGGTAGTTCCGACCGCGAGGTTCTGTATTGCCTCGTCGGTGTCATCCAAATATCCCTATGCCCGGTAAGACGTAAATCATACCCACGGTCTCTATGGAGAATTTCGCACTTTGCGTCAACCAGACTTCTGGAGCGAACATAGATACTGCTTGTTATAAGAAGCATACAAGCTAGAACTTGCACTCCCGTCACAATGCTAGCTCCATTTTCGCAATTATGTCAAGAGATAACTTTTTGATAAGTTGAATCCTACACTGTATCTCATCCATCAACACTCTTAAGTCCCTTGACAAGAGTAGTTAATCTTTCAATGCCCTCATATATCTCGTTCTCGGAATGCCATGCCCAGCATAGACGAATGCCCTTACTATAAGCTTGGTCTCCTCGCTGAATACTACCCTTGTCTCCCTCGACTGCCATCATGGATCCGGATGCAAATTTGAGGCTACTTTTCTCTGAGGCCAAGGCTGAGAGCTCAGCTGATGATACAGGGAGGTCATTTGGGATAGTCACATAAACAAAGAACCCCCCAGCCACTGCCACTGTGCCGTGCGACACCCCATTTGACTGGCTGCTAGGGTCAAGCACTTCGCCGTAAGTTGTGCCCATTGAGGTTTTGAAGCCTAGGGGTTCCAAAAGATCACGGACAGCGTTTCGGAGAACATAGTACCTGGAACGATACGTTGGGATTAGCGTATCTTTGATATGTGCCTGCAGCTGTCCCGAAGAGAGCATCTCCTCAATAAATGTCGCAGTGAGGTGGCTTGGGCAGCCCCCAGACTTGTAGGCACCTAGTTCAGAGAGATATAGGGCCAACTTAGGTGTGCCTTCAACCCAACCAGTTCGCACGCCTGGGGCCACAATCTTGCTGAAAGAACCATTGCTGATGGCATTTCCCCACTCGCTCCTGGGTCCGTCATCAAGAAAACGGTCAACATCCACGATTCGTGGCGGAATTGCGCCCAACCGGCATTGGGTCTCGTCCTCATCCTCGGGCCAACGTAAGACATCGTAAACATCGTCGGTGACAACTAGAGCATCAAATTCCCGAGCAAGACGGACTAGTTGGTGGCGGCGGCGAAGCGACATAGTCTTTCCACTTGGGTTAGAGAAAGTAGGCACCGCATAGATGATATGCTTGTACAACTTATATCTTGGTGAGGTTTTTAGGGAGGGAGTCGATGGTTGTGTCGGATCCTGTTCAATTTTCCTGAGTTCTCTGCGAAGAAACTCAATGTCAAGGCCTTGGTCATCCTCGGGAACACCGCGAAGCCTGCCTTCAAAGCCATTGTCTGTGAAGATGGGGCAAGCAAGGAAGTAACACGGCTCAACCATCCAAATTCTGTGCGTATACCCAGGTTCAGTGAATTTAGACAGAATATTATGCAAGCTCGCTGACGCTCCGTTCGTAACACATATACGCTCTGCTGAGATGGGCTGACTGGTAAAATAGCATGAGCTCAGCCAAGCTGCGATGCTCTGACGGAGGGGCGCATAGCCTGCATCGGGGCCGTAAATGAGAGCGCCGGCGGCCTTCTGCTCTGACTGCAAAACTTTGGAGGCTCCATTGAGAAGTTGTGGTGCTGGAAACAGCGAGGGTGAAGGCCATCCTAGCTGGAGATTGATAAAAGTCGACATATTATCCTGCGCGGTGCTGTCCTAGCCTGGACAATGAAATTGACGGTCGGAAAAGTTGCTTTTTAGAAGGCGGGTGAGGGAGAAATACGGCGATAGATTAATGATCGCAGGGATCTAAGTCCTTAGGGTTGGAGTAAATGCTGGGCATATGTGATGATAGCTAGATAATAACCTCGAATTCACCGAGAGTAGTTGGTCATAATCATTCTTCATCGTCATCGCCATTTCGTATGATGATGTAGGGTCATATTCGACATCCATAGTGCGATGATAGCTCTCAATGTTGACAGGTACGTAGGAAGCTTGTCGGTGATGATTATCCCGATACCGTGCATGAGACCTGCTATCGGACTCAATGTGCGACGCATCGGACTTGACGACCGTACCCAATGCAAGGTCGCAACCATTTCCAGTACCCCCACTACCCAAGCCAAGACAATGTCACGAACGCAAAGATGGATGTAAGTATGCCAGCGGCAGATGTCATCTTATTGATCCTTAAATTTTCCTAATTAGATCTAAATTCTTTAAATAACTCCAAAATATTGTGTTTCTCTTAAAAAGGCTCATTGCATCCCACTGATAGCCGTTTTATCTGTGATTTAATTCATCTTAGTGGAAACTCCGAGGCATACTCGACGTCTCCTTGCCGCCTAACGAGTTACTTATCATTATTACCTCATTATTACCAAGATGCCTCAACTGAAGATATCGCTCGACGATGAACAGCATACCTTTGAGGCTGATATCGCTGCTATTGAAAAGCAATGGAATTCTCCCCGTCAAGCGCATTTGAAACGGTTAGTCTACGTATATTGAAGTATATCAACATCTTGTTTATACTGACTTGCAACACCGTATACAGGCCGTACACTGCTCGTGATATTGCTGCCCTCAGAAATTCTATAGATGCTACATCGCCCCTCTCATCGATGCAAGCTATCAAGCTCTGGGCCCAACTGCGTGACCACCAAAAGAATGGCACAGCAGAACTAACATTTGGAACCACGGATCCAACCGTAGTTTCCCAGATGGCCAAGACACAGCGGACGGTCTATGTCTCAGGTGCCCTTTGCGGCTTCTCCGAGGTAGCCATCCCAGGAATGGACCATGCCGATTATCCTTGGGACACTGTTCCCAAGGTTGTCAGCAAGATTGTCAAGTCGCAACTATGGCACGAACAACGGCAACGCCAGTTTCGCTTGTGTCACCCTAAAGAGAAGAGAGACGCACTTGAGAACTGGGACTACCTTGCTCCAATCATTGCAGATGGCGACATGGGCTTCGGCAGCTTGACTAGTACGATGAAGATGGCTAAGGAGTTCGTCGACGCAGGGGTCGCAATGATACACATTGATGACCTGGCCATCGGAATGAAAAAGTTTACCGTCGGTCAAGGACGTACCATTGTCCCATTCAGTGAGTATATAGATCGCCTGCGAACTGTCCGTATGCAGTTTGATATCATGGGGGCCGAAACCTTGCTCTTGTGTCGCTGCGATACCGACCATGCAGAATTCATCACTAGCGTCATCGATGAGCGAGATCATGAGTATGTCGTTGGCGCTACAGTTACCATAGAGCCCCTGAAGGACTACCTTTATAAAGCGCAGGCCCAAGGAAAAGATGTCGTGGCCGCACGTGAGGAATGGAAGTCTAAGGCCTGTCTCAAAACATATGACGAGGCAGTCCAGGCTGTAGCCTCTGAAAGTGAATTTTCAGCCTACATAGCATCCGTCAGAAACGCAAAGTTCTGTTCACTCTTAGCACGACGGCAGATTGCGGCCGATACGGTCAAGCAGGATGTCATTTTCGATTGGGAACTACCTCGCTCGGCCATAGGCCAGTACATGTTCCAGCCCTGCGTCAAGGCCATTGTTGAGCGCGCCATTGAAGCAGCTCCACTGGGCGATGTGACTTGGTCGCGCATGGACACGCCGGTATGGGAGGATATTGTCGACTTCCACTATAAGGTCCGGAAGGTGTTTCCAGATCGAATGTTTGCTTTTGGATACACGGGCCAGTTTGACTATGAAGCTGCGGGATTCTCGGCCGAACAGGTCAAGACTATCCACAAAGATCTAGCTAAGCTCGGTGTATGTTGGCAGGTCCAGCCTATATGGAGTCTGCAGGGCCTGAATATGGAGGCGGAGAAGTTTGGTAAACTCTGGGCTGAAGAGGGGATTGCAGGGTATATCCGGGACATACAAGGGCCTGCTTTATCTAAGAAACCTATGGTTGACGGATTTGAGAAGCTTGAATGGTGTGGAGGCTACTTGGCAGACGCTTTCTTTGACACCGTCGCTGGACAGTCGATTGCAAACTGAATGATAATCGGGGTACCGCTTTATGACAACCCAAGATTGTGCTTTTCGTATATTGTGTGCATCTACTAACTCGCTTAAGTCTTCCATTGGTGTGAGAATACGTCTTAAAAAATAAATTAAACTTACAGACTCTATGAACTGGAATTTGATATTTCATTTCCAATGTCGGATTTAGATGCCCTCTTGCTAAAGCTCTTGGCAATGTCACGCTACGCCCTCTGGTGAGACAGTAGATAACGCTAACCTCGCATGGCAAGGCAGTTATCCCCGCACAGCCAGGACGACGATTGACCGATGCATTCTCACCTCCATTCGCATTTTTCGTCAGTTTTGCAACCACTGTCGCACGTTGTTGCAATAATCAACATACAACTAGTTGTAGGCGTCACTCAACTACGTTGCAAGGCGCGATAACATGTCGTAATATGTCTTGTTATTCCATTCCGCCAATCTCCGCTTCCGTCTCCGCATGCCCAATACCAAACCCCGCCCAGAATGAACCACGCGCGCGAAATGATGCCAGATGAAGAGCCGCGCCAGAAGCGGCAGCGAGTGCTTGCATGTAGGTAAGCTGCCGGAAACGAACCCCCAGAGCACAATGCCGGCGATGGCTACCCTACCGCATGCTCATAACTCTACAGGCGTTGCAGAAGTCGGAAGCAAAAATGCGAGGATAACAGACCCTGCACAAACTGTCTCAGATCAGGTGATCAATGTATGGCAACGGAGCCAGCATCTCGCACTCTTGTTGAGAGCCATTATGTGCGCGCTCTCGAAGAACGAGTAGCTGAGCTTGAGAAACAGAATCCTGAACACAACATTGATCACCTTGCCTCCGACCACGCTCAGCTTAACGGACAGCCCATAGCTACTACCAGTCCCTCGAGAGAGCATCTCTCAGTTTCTCCAGGTCAAACTCAGTTGCATTCTGTCGCGCGTGGGACCCATTCGAATCCCTCGCCTAGTGCAACAGCAGCCATATCCATTGATGATGACTCTGACACTGGCCTCGATCAGACCATCTACGGCCTCGTCACCTCCCCTTCGACTTGCGATGATGGACGTCAATCTGCCGTGGCTGCTACCCCGGGGAATGCTCCAGCAGCGAGTAATGGCGACTTCCTTCATCAAAACCTCATCACCGCCATGCCTGCAGAGCTACAGCAGGTTCTAATCAACGCCTACAAGGAGCGTGCACAGACGCAATATCCCATGTTGCACTGGAACAATTTCCTAGAATGGGTCTCTGATTGGAAGACTTGTGCTGCTTCAGGTATGCCCTCTCGATACTGGCAGGGCTTTTTCGTCAATCTCGTCTACTCAACTGCCTTACTACTTCTATCCCTGCCACGTGTTGGTCAAACTGATGCCAGGGTTCTTTACAAGCAAGGGATGACTTTACTACCACATGTGCTGAGGCAACCTAACCCAATCCTCCACGTACAAGCTTATTTATTACTCAGTATCCACGCCCTTCATCGGAGCTCTACGCCGCGGCTTATCTCTCTAGCATCAACCACGATGCGATACTGCATTCAGTTTCAGTTCCATCTCGCTGATTTGGAGCCTGACCCTGTTGATGTGACTATCCGATTAGAGAATCAGCTTCGCCGCCGCTGTTTCTGGTGCGCCTATGTCATGGACCGGCTTGTCATGTCCTCATTCGAGCTTCCACCCTCAGTGTCGGACACCATGATAACGGCGAAGCTCTACGCAAATATCGATGATGAAGATATCGAGACGGTGGCTGCACAGACAGCAGCTGACGAGGAGCTACCAAACTCAAGTAAATATACATCCGTATCGTCTGCCTTGCATATCCTACAATGTCGCCGCATACAGTCTGAGATCTTTGGATATACCCTCCACTGGGAATACAAGTCCCGGTATGAGGACTCGTTGGACTGGAGACTGCAGATTCTCAATGAGTTGGAAAGCTACAAGGCACGTGTTCAAAACTTTACAGATCCCCAGTCTAAAGGCCATACTTCACAGCGCTGGCTTGCTATGATATATCATTATACGCTATTGACTCTTTACCGCCCAACCATGGATAATGTTCTGGGTCCTGCTGGAGATTGGTCAATTCAAGCCGGTTCACAAGCCTGCCTCATATTTCGAAAGTCTCAAATGGACCGACAGATTGCTCAGGCATGGCTTGGTGTAAGTCGCAGCTCTAACCAGTGAATATGTTGCAGCTTTACTAATCAGTTCCTTCATAGCTCTTGGTCCAGTTCCAGTCCGGCGTGACAATCTTGTACTGTTGCTGGGCGACACCGCCAGAATATCGAACTGAGAGCTACTATTCTCCCGATGTATCTGATGCTCTCAGGGCATGCTCCAATATCCTGGCATTGTTATCCGATCGTTGGCCAAAAGCCGAATGTCTTCGAGACGTTTTTGAACTGCTTGCCAGGGAAGTGCCACTAGTTGATCGTCCAAATCGGCCACCGACGCGAATATCGGATGCCTCAGCTTCTGTCATCAAGGAGAAGCTTCCGCAGTTGAGAGCCCTCATCGTAAATCGCTCAGTAATAAGGATGATTACAGAAATGTTGACAAATGAGTTTCCACGAATACGCGGAGATCAGACACCTTATCATCTTGTGTCGCGGCGGCCAACACCAGTGCCAGCAGGACCTATACATGAGAGGTCGGCGCCGATAGCAATGAACTCACAGCCGTTGCACTTGTCTTTCGATTTGCCATTTAGTGTACAGCGTGCTTATGGTGAAGGAGCAGTCGGAGATAACTCGACCCTTAAACCAGACGAGCTATTCGCCTTTCCTGGTATATTTGATCTAGGCTCCTGGGCCTAAATTCTTTAACATAGCTATGATAATTTAAACCAGGTATATTGTATCTTAATATACTTATTAGCAGTCTGAAGTTAAAGTTTCTACCTAACAGTTTATTAATAGTTTGATTTAATAGTATATACAGTAGTTAATACTAAATAAAAGAAATATAATAATTATATTAATTTATTAATTACTTAATATAAGAAATAATATTAAAAGAAAACTATTAATTATTAAATGAAGATTAATTACAATAAATATATAATACTGTTTTAATAAGTAATGGTTTCTTGCGGTAAGAGATTATATATATAGTTTGCGAATACCTAAAGACTGTTATAAACTACCGAAACATACCCCGGATTATCGCGACTTCCGCGGCACCGGCCCACACATTCCATTGGCCATCTTCATTGCGGGGTCTCGTCAATGCGACGAACTTGGATGACGCTTCTACAAGTTAAAATATTCTACCCACGAGTGAGTCGAATATCCAGACGACAGCCTCGCGGTTTATGCGCCAGTCCTTGCAAAGACTCGTTGCTTTTGCCCACGCTAATCGGAAGCATGGAAGATAATGGGCCTCAAACACGCCACCGAGCATCTAAAGCCTGTCAAAGATGTCATCAACGCAAGATTAAATGTGATGCAGTGCAAGTCGGTCAGCCCTGCAGTCGCTGTCGAATGGACCAAATTAGTGATTGCGCACTGATAGTGTCGAGGCGAGGCATTTACGATAGGAACAAGGTACGGAGGCGTCGGCAGACGGGCGAAGAGGTCGAGTCCGTAATTGCGAGTCCTCCCCGGCATCTCGACCACCAAACTGAGGTATGCGTGATCCCAAGACCCTAAGAGTATTTATCAGTGGCGCTAACTCTCGGCTTATGGTGTACAGTCGAGCATATAAAACTCTCCTGGTTTCGCACCATGCGATATGTCACCTGAACCCTTCCCACCTGAGTCTCTTCCTAAGACGCCACAACAGCAACATGAGTCGAGTCACATCTATGGAAATGCGGCCCACGAACAAAGTAAATCGCTTGTGGCAATGTTTGAGTCCTTTCTGAAACAACAACACCAGGGCACGCCCGGAAGATCTGGGATAGTATTGCCGGGAGAACCGTCGCCACTGACATTTGCGTTGGGGGAATTCCAGCATAGATACGGCCGAGGACTTCACCACGTGGGCCGTCAGATCGAGGAAAGGGCATCTGTGGCCGAAGCCGAGCATGGCGTGCATCCGCCTCATCTGGCTGAATGTGATGTTGCCTGGTTGAAAGCCAAGGGTGCATTCGACCATCCCGACGACGGCATTTCTGACACCCTTCTAAGAGTGTATCTGGAAAGGTTTCATCCTCTCTATTCTATTGTGCGAAAAGATCGTTTCGAAACAGCATTCCGCCAAAGAAAGCTTCCATGGATAATTCTGCATGCGGTCTGCTTCATCAGTGTCACCTTTTGCGACCGAGCTGTGATATACCAATCACAGTTCATGTCGCGACTAGAAGCACGCCTTTATTACTATAACAAGGCAAAAGCACTATTTACGATGGACTACGAAACAGACCGACTTGCACTGCTAAAAGCAGTTATTATGCTCAGCTTCTGTGGACCTCAGCTGCAAAGCCATTGGAGTCCTGGCAGTTGGATTGGCTTTGGAGTTACCATCGCTGTGTCGCTTGGTTTGCACCGAGCTACTGGGTCGTTCCGTGCAAATTCCAGCGAAGACAGAGGATTACTGCGCCGTTTATGGTGGACATTGGTCAATCGGGACGCGCATCTTTCAGCACTACTTGGTCGGTCGATGCGGGTGAATCTTTCACTATGCGACACTGACTTACTAACGTTGAATGACTTCGAGGATGAAATGACATGCTCCCACCAAAATGACCTCAGCTGCATCTGCAAGCAGACAATCCACTATCAAATACAAATGGCCAAACTTTCTATTATTCTTCGCAGAATCTTGCTCCATCGCTTTGGTCCCACCAAGAGTACAACAACAGTTGAAGAACTACATCAAAGAATTGTTGATTGGCAATCGAAACTCCCTAGTTCTTTTAGTTCGGGTCAACAGACATCCAATCCCTTCGTGCCTAACCTCGTTGTCAAGATCCTTTTCAACTACCACCTCCTCATTCTACATATGGAACGACCAGAACGAATCTCATCTGCTTTTGATCATAACTCATCACTCAATGAAAATCGATCCGTAGCAGTTGCCCAAGCAGCAGCATCAGCCATTGCTTCAACTGCTGTTACTATTATGAAGAGGTCGATAATATACGCCTTACCTCACGAGGTCTTCCCGGCTTTTTTCCTTGCTGGCATTATCTTATCCAGACAGGCCAGTCAGCATAATCCTGCAATCGCTGAAAATTGTCTCGCATCTCTGGACAACTGCCAAATTGTCCTGAACGAAGCCCGGGAGTCGTGGGACTCAGGCAACTGGGCGACAAAGCTGTTCGAGTTTCTTTTGTCTACCTCTAGTGAGACAGATGATGCTCACGATGCAGAGGCACAGCAGGCAACCGGGGCACATACTGACATGCAGACTTCTCTGAACACCGCCGCTTCGGGGATTGATTATCCTATGATAGATTTACCCCCCCAGAGCATCTTGCCTTCTCTCGATGCAAGCACAAGGTTTGATGAGAGTGGTCCATTTGAGCTGGGAGACCTACTTCTTATGCCCAACCTCTGGTTGCCTGAGGACGATGGATTGCAGACGTTCACAATGTAATTAATGCCTTGTGCAATTATCATATATTGGTGCATACTATCAGCTGCTCAAGAACGAAGGGAAGGTTGTGTTTTTTAGGTCTATCAAAATGCGTTCTTAATAGCGGCCCTAATGAAAACGAGTTTATAAAAGCCATAACAGAAAGCAACTAGTATAGACTAGCAACATCCATGCATGCAATCTTATTTGCCAGGTACAAGAATTATCTTTTGTGATCTCATCTTGTCAAAGTCATCAAAGCTTAAAAACAAGTTAGCCCTTGGTCTCTGGTCCAATTCCCAACCCTTACCTCTCTTTGGCTTGTGACAAAGGTCGCACATCCGTAGTCATGAAGCTGAAAAAGTTAAGCATGACTGCCTTTGTATACCCAACACCACCAAATATAACTTACTCAAAGTCTGCTTGATTCTCGATAAACATTTCCAATGCATCCTTAAAAATACCTGTGAGATTTGTCGTCAATTTCAGCTCGGTATTGAGCCTCTTCGGGGTAAAATCGGAAAACCCACTTCGAACAGGGCAACGGCCCATTTGAATCGACAGATTCTTCCCGTAGCCTTCATTCCCGGTCCATGGAATGTTTTCGTTATGTATCCCCACACTAGAAATACGGCCGAAAGGGCGCAGGAGGTCAAACCCCATTCTCAATGCGTCAGCATGGCCGACGACCTCAATGACAATATCAGCGCCACGTCCGTCTGTTAGTTTCATTACCCTTTCTTTTAAAGGTATGTCACCATCTTCCAAGTTCCAGGTCTCGGCTCCTAGGGCTCTTGCCATTTGAAGCCGCGAAGGAACCTTGTCTACAGCAATTAGATGCTTTGGCCTGTAGCTCCGAGCACTTATAAGTGCAAATAGACCAACAGGTCCGCAGCCAAAGATCAGTACCAAGCTCTCCTCAACTGTAGAAGTTGGTAAACCTTTAAAGGCATTCAATGCAGCAAAATAGCCCGTTGGGAAGATGTCAGCCATTAATACGAGCTTCTTTTTATCTATGCCATTAGGGGCATGGACAAGCGATGAGTCTGCTAAAGGCACTCGAACAAACTCGGCCTGGCCTCCATCGAGAGCCGGTGGCCCGAAAAGACTTGAATGGACACAGCGGGAGCTCATGCCTCTCTTGCAATAGAAACATGACCCACAGTTGATTGCAAAAGGTGCTATGACACAGTCTCCTTTCTTGATGTCCTGCAGTCCGGGGCCAGCTTCGTGTATCTCGCCGATGAACTCATGGCCCATAATGAAGTCTGTTTCTGACTTCTGATGGCCTCGATAGACATGAAGCTCACTTCAAATGCTATCAGTCTGTGGTAGACTTGCACACGGCGATGGGAAGACTCACCTGCCACACAACGCTGTATATTGCACCTTGACGATGGCATCATTTGGATGTTGGATTCTTGGAATCGGCCGCTGCTCCACCGCCACCGTGAAAGGCCCTTTGAAGACGACTGCTTGCATTTTTCTTGGGAGTTGCTAGCTTTTCCACAACTTATTCAGTGTCTGCTTGTCCTCTGCTTTATAGCACTCTGTTTGTAAGTAATGCCAATACAGTGAGAATGGGCATATTGCCTCGGGCTATGTACACGTCACATCTCTGGACAGTCCGTGAATCAGGCATACAGCCTCGGTTGAATTCGCTCTTTACTGCTAAGCAGCCGCGGCAGGGTGACCTACGTTTCGCCGTTTCTCGGCAATTGATCCGGTATATCTTCAAATAATGAACATCTACTCACAATTAGTCTCGATTGGTTTCCCATTAGCTGCTTCGGACTTGGATCCCATGCTGTGACTACATACAGTATTCTGAGTTACTCCATGACTGCCACGCCATCTTGATTGCTGGCTGCCTTGAAACGGAAAGGAAAGGGGCTGGCGAGGGAGACAGCATGAGTAATTATCAACATTCACTTGACTTGAAGGACATATCATAGCAATACTGAGATAGTCAGTTTGTAAAAATTAAATCTCTTATGAACTTTCTTCCAATACGGCAGATTCTAATAGGGGACCGATGTAGACTGTCACTTCAGAGCGGTTTAAATCCTTTGTATCCCTCATCGATCAAACCCTGCAAGGCCTTCCTATAGTTTGCAAGACCTCCAAAATAAAAGAGCACCGAGGGTTTTTTCCCAGCTACGTAGCACCAAAGATCCAAGAATCTGTCCTCCTAAATAAGCTTTTTGAGCTCAGCTCGTCACATATCTTGCTCCAATCATGGACCGCTTCTCGCTCTGCTTCAATAGTAGGATTCTTGCCATTTTGGCGCGCCGATTCGTTGGCGTGTTGGATGATGTCAGATATAAACTCAACCTGGGTCTCGATGGTCGGGGGCAAATTTGTAAAAGGACCGTTCGGACCCAGTATCATGAAGAGATTTGGGAAGTCCGATACAGAGATACCGAGATATGCGTCTGGTCCATCAGCCCAACAGTCCTTGAGAGTCTTGTTTGATACACCTTGGATCGGAATCCGCTTGTAGTTCCCATCTACGGCATCAAAGCCTGTGGCAAACACAAGAACATCGAGGTCATACTCGGCCCCGTCGCTTATTCGAACACCCTTAGGCGTGATCTCGATGATGGGAGTCTCATTGACATCAATGATATCCACATTATGGCTGTTGAACTTCTCGTAATAACCCGTATCACACAGTGGACGACGAGCATAGTGCTCTGTGGGAATCAGCTTCTCGGCCTTGATAGGATCTTTGACGATTTGGCGGATCTTTCTTTTGATAAAGTCGGCCGCTTCTTTGTTTGCCGCTTCGTCATAAGAAATGTCGGAAAAGGTTCCGAACATAAAGTTGAAGCCGCCACCCTGTTGCCAGGCGTTCTCGAAGATTTTTTCACGCTCTTCTGCTGTGACACTATAGGCAGGAGTTTGACTCTCCTCGAACCCAAAACCAAACATGCTCTCTTTTGCTTGCTTCCAGATCTCATTCCATTGGCGGTCAATCTCGCGTCGATCTTCAGGAGGAAACGCTCTATTGACTGCAGGAACAACATACTGCGGGTGCCGCTGGAATGAACGCAGAAGCTTTACTTCATCTGCAATTGCGGTAATGACTTGAATACCGGTCGATCCGTTCTCAATAACCCCGACTCGTTTATTCTTGAAGTCGTAAGACGCTGGCCAACTCCCTGTGTGATACATTTCGCCCTTGAAGGAATCCAGTCCAGGGATCTCTGGATAGTTCTGCTTTGAAAGAAGCCCAATAGCGGTGATTAGGTAGCGACATGTGATATCCTGACCAGAAGATAGACCAACAGTCCATTTTGAGTGATCTGGATCCCAGTTGGCAGCTTTCATCTCAGTGTTGAACTGCATATATTGACGGAGTTCATGTCGATCTACCACATGCCGTAGGTAAGCCAAAACCTCATGTTGTTGGAGGTATTGCTTTTCCCATGAATACTGCTGAAGATCTTCGAGGTCCCAAGAGTATCGATACAACATCGAAGGCGTACTGTGCGGACGTTAAGATCTCTATGTGTCACCATAAGCAGGTATGTTCATTTACTCCGACATGGCGCCCGGATAACGATTCCAGTACCAAGTGCCGCCAACATCCGGCGCAACTTCAATAAGCTTCACAGACAGGCCCTGGTCCACGAGCTTCTTGCACATGTAGATGCCACCAAAGCCAGCTCCCACTACTACAGCATCGTAATCAGGACAAGGGGTCATTTTGCTTTTGCTTTTGTGAATGGTAGGGGTTGAAGATGTGTAGGGTATTGAACTGCGCATCAACTTTTCTTGGACAGCCATCACATCATTTATTGCTGGCCGTATGCTGCTTTGTACGTGAGATGTCTTTGCCCGGTACTGCCTACTCGACAATCCTTCCCGGGGTCAATCCGGGGTCGGTATGCGTCTGGACCTTGTAGCCGTGGCTGGAATTTTGGGGGTTGGGGAAACACCCCGGGAACAAACCAAATAGCCGCGGCTTCTTGAGCACTGAAGAGGTTATTGTGGGGTTGCGGATGTCGGCCAGATTTGGTTGCCCTTGCCTCAGTAACAGGATCGTGTCGCCAAAACAGGCAGAGATCTCTTGTTGTCAATCTCGTGTGAGACGCTTCATGTAAGCCATCAGTTATACAGTCTATTAACTAAGAATAATACTCTTATAAAGTAAGCTTAGGCAGTATATAAGCTACCTAATATAATTGCCTAAAATAAGCTTTATAAGCCTAATAATTACATCTGATATATAAGGAGAACTCTACATATATACCCTTGGTGTTAATCTCTCTTTTACTAGGCAAGAATCCCTATGTCTTAATAGGGACTTAGCGGGTCTCACGTTTCCCTCTATATGCCCAAGGTAGCAGTGGCAACTATTCAGGAATTATCATCGTTGCCACGTAGTAACTTAAAATACATTAAGCAATTTGACTTAAAGTTGCTTAGATAGAACCACGATAACGTGTTTAGTTGCCCCAACCACCCAGATCTCTAGATACAGTGGTAGCATCCGCCCACTTATCCAACTTTGCCTTGTTTACAAATTCTGGCCCCACGAAACGTACAATGCTTACAACCGCCTCTTTTAGATTCATGAGCTTCTGTAGAATCTTTTGCATTTCTTCGCTTGCATCGTCTGTGCCATTAGCGCCGAGCAAGCGCCCCATCCCACGTAAGTGCCAGTTGCCAGGTCCACCTAGTCCCAAGCACGAGATTGAAGAGTATACCACAGCTTCAGTCTTGAGGGGAGTAAGAACTTCAAAGTCAGAGAGCCACAAGCCGTAGAGGGTATAAATCTCATTGAACTTAACATCCTCTTTGTGGGTACCCCAAGTATCAAATATCTTGCTCAAAAGCTCTTCGCCATAGATTGTGTTAATTGTCTGAAGACCACGGTTGTAGATCGCTGGTACATTCATTTTGTCGGCTCGCCTGCATGACAATGTATTAGAAAGATATTCAGTTAATGAAATAGCAGAAGGCACAAACCACTTCTCATTCAAACTGCTAGACCTGGCCTTCGACTCAACATCTCCCTCTGCCTTTGCAAGTGGGATTAGAACTGAAAGAACCTGTGGTCCTCCCACAAGCGAAAGCTGCTTCAGAAGAACATCTCGAAATCTTTGACCGAGATAATCCAGAGAAGCCTCAGATGAGAATTCTGTCTCGTGTTCTTTAAGATAGGTATAAAACGATGCTGGGAGACTTGTTTCAGGAGATACTGCCAAAGTAGCGAACTGGAAATAGTTAGCACAAGCATTAAACAAGCTGATCTGCCAGGGTGGCATACAATAACCAGATACCATGCTTGCTTGCCGATATCTTCGGGCAGCAGAGCTCTTACCTTGTGACAAAGTCTTGCCCATTCGCTGTCACTGTGCTGCATCATTGAACCTTACTTCGCTACGCCGGTTGCTGGACTTTAAAACTGTGGTAGGAAAGAAAAGCCTCACAACAACGTTCCGAGGTGTTACAGCAACAGTAACTTATACAATTCGCAAGTATAATTCGCGCCAGCTCGGACAACCTATTTCACCGAGCGATAGGCACCACCGATGTATGATGCCCTTCCCTTCTCTTCTGATACCCGCGGCTTGAAATTCGCTGCTAGGCCCTCCTCAATGATGGTGGCAAAAGGCCAAGTCGCTCCGCGGCTAACCCCATCCTAAGGCCGAATAGTCCGCTCCAATCGGGAAGATTGAGCAATTTAGCTCCCCACGGCTATTTGGACATGTATCAGATAGTAAACAACTATCAACCGCAGACAACCAACAAGCAGACGTTTCTCAAGCCCCAGCGCCATTTTACTAGGTCGAGTGGTCGTGTCTGAAAAAGACCTTCTTTTCCACCGTATCCGTTTCCAAGCATAGTTTTATTTGTCGAGGCCCAGGATTGAGCACCTTACAAAAGCATAAGTAGGATATAAGTAGATTCCATCAATACAGGAGCTTTAGAGCAATGGCAGATATCACATGGGGCTTCGTCGGACTGGGCAATATTGGTATGTTTCGAATCCTGTCCTATCAGTTGAAAGTCTTGTGCTGACTCTATTTGATGCTAACAGGCTATCCTATGGCCATTAATCTTCGAAATAAGATGCCAAAGCGATACAATTTAATCATCCACGATGTCAATTACGACGCCATGAACCGATTTGCTGAACAAGTGAACGGTATGAGCAATCGAAATGCAGCAGACATTCAATACAGTTTGGACCTTGCCGACAACGCCAGACAAGTTGCAGAGAAATCGGTAAGTCGCATCAAGACCTACCTGTGTCATACAGAATAGTGGTTGACTATATACGCATTAGACTGTCCTCATAACTTGTTTACCCTCCCCAAGAATCGTCCAGGACGTCTATAATTCTATATTGAATCACGGCACGCTTCCCCAATTGGCAGAAAAGCAACTTTTCATCGACTGTTCCACGATCGACCCAGCATCCTCCCGGGAAATTGGAGATATGCTTCACAAGGCAGGCTATGGGCATTTTGTGGACGCACCAATGTCTGGCGGGGTCGTTGGAGCCCGCGCAGGCACGTTGTCTTTTATGTTCGGCTCGGCCGAAAGTTTGGAGGAGCAAGTCAAATCAGCCCTTCTACTAATGGGAAAGAGTGCTCGCCGCATGGGCAACCAGGGAACTGGCGTGTGCAGCAAACTAGCCAACAACTACATCCTGAGCATCAACAACATCGCCTCGGCTGAGGCACTTAATATGGCTCGGCAGTGGGGACTTGATCTTCGGTCGCTGAGCGATCTCATCAAGTCTTCAACGGGACGTTGTTGGCCGATGGATGTCAACAATCCTGCTCCTGGCGTTGACGAATCCGCTGCAGCCTCAAATGGTTATGCTCCTGGAGGTACAGTTAACATCATCAAGAAAGACCTTGAGCTGGCAATGGCTGGGGCGAAAGCTTCTGGAGCGTTGCTACCGTTGGCGGAGAAGGCCCATGAGGTTTATTGCGCAGTTGAGGAGGCGTACAGCGGCAAGGATCTCTCTGTCGTATATCAATGGTTACAGAACCAGGCGTAAAGGGAATATTGAGACTATATTGGCATGATAATTCAAATTATACGAGACCAGTAACTCTACAACATACTACATAGTAAAATGTAACAACAGACAAGTTCGACTTATCGCTTTGTCTGCTCAAAGCCAAGCCTCAATGTGCTTGAATTGCAAAACTTGGAAACAACATCCACCGAAGAAAGCCCAGATATTTCCTTTCCTGATCCTCAATCTGAGTTGCCATTGGAATTCCTTTGTCTACCTGTAATGCTGATCAGAATGTCGACAATAGGAAAGATCTCATAAGATATCTCAAAACCAAAATGTAGTAACCAAGTAGCCGCGGCGATATGCAGGGTTGGCAAGCCTTCCTCTCAGCAAACAGTATAATTGGTGAGTTCGGCTAATTTGCCGAGATGTCAATACTAGTGGGAGAGCTCGCATGGATTCGTGTCTTTAATGATGGTGAATGGAGTCTGCTGGATACGAGAAGTGTTGCATAGTGGCGGCTTCTAGTTAACAAATAAAGCGAAGATAAATACAGAATTCAAAAAGAAAGAACAGCTTGTGATCATTCAACTCAGCTAGGCTAACTACTGATAGAAGTTTTGGGCATTCTTGTACTCCATTGCGACTATCTTATCATGTCCAAAGATCAACTTGGCATCATAAAGCCGCTGCAGCCTTCTTACCGTGTTGAGGCTTCGGTACCACGCATTATGATCCCGTGCAAGGGCGCCGTGCGGATGCCCAAGCTCGTAGTTCTCCCTAACGTGGAACTGGTCTGTGGTCCAAATGAATGTGCCATCTCTTTGTAGGTTGATCTGCATCCCACACAGTCCAGGGGTATGTCCTGGTAGATGGTGGAGAGAGATGCCCTGGAAGATCTCGAGGTGAGAGTCATTAAAGGTGTTCCAGTTCAAGCTCTCAAGGAGGAGATAATGGCCCATATAGACGCCCAAGTCTGCACCGGTAGCTACGGCCCAGCAGGCATGCTTGAGTTCCTCTTCGTGGGTATAGATAGGGACATCGGTTCCGGCAAAGTGCTCTAGGCCCCCGGCATGATCTAGGTGGAGATGACCCATAATGACTGCCTTGACATCTGATATATGGTTGCCTGTGGCTTCGATTGCAGCAGGTAGCTTCTGGCTCTCTGAGTATTCAGTACGAGGAAATATGTCGGTCAAAGGGGCACCCCATTCCTAAGTCATTGATGAGTAAGTGCAATTTTATAAAATACAAAAGAAAACAAGATCGGTGTGCATACTACATGGATATTCTCAGCACATCCTGTCTCAAATAAGATAAGCCCCACGCCTGGATACTCAATCAGTGCGGACAAAACTATCAAGTCCCGACGTTTGTTCACGGGGTTCTTGTCGCTTAATGCACTGGCGTTGGCGCCCCGAAGAATCCTAGATTTATGTTAGTTGGAGTCTCAAAACTTGGGCGAGGCTCCAACAGACCATGACTCGTCGACTTGTAGCGTTCCAAGATCTAAAATGTGCATTTTTGTTCCAGGGGGACATTTTATTGCTGCGATAGAAGTGTCTGGTAGCCGAGTGACAGGTAGTGCTGCCATGTTTGAGAATGTCAAAGAGTGCAGAGAGGATCCGACGGCGATGGAGAAAGCCCGGAAGTCTTGATGAGTTGTATAGTTAGGTACGGCTTTTCCCTCATTTATCCTATTACATGTCTTGGCCTTTTTACGCTTTGACTTGATCAGTTTACATCCTTCAGCATTTAACAATGAACTGGGGAAGAATGTGGGGGCGATGCAACCATTTCATCTTAAGATCCCGCGGCTACTTCAAGCTGTAGCTTTGCTGCCGGCTCATTATCGCACCCCCTCGAAAGCCAAGAGCATTAACTCCGTCGAGTAGAATGCTTGTGATTGTTCATCGGTTACTGTTTACGGCAATTTCCCCATGTTCCCCATTGAAAAAGCTTTGGGCGAAGCTGGGGCCCCGGACTTTCTATGCGTGCCCCTGATCTAGATGTCCCTTCTCGCGGAATACAAATTGAATCAATCGCTCTCACTTTGTTTATATCTTTCTTCATCTCACTTCCGCTCTCCACAGCCTGATCTGAGAATTCATCTTCGACAAGAACCAAAAATGTTCAAAAGCTCTTCCAAAGCGACAGAACCCTCCCAGAACTGGCGAGAGCGCGTCGCCAACAACGAAAGCGCCATTGAGAGCCCCAGCGATGCTTCTGAAGCACTGTCTCGCGAGCATGCCGAGTACTTGATGATTCGGCACGGAACTCTGGACCTTGATCCTCTGCCAGGCCCTGACGACATGGATCCGTACAACTGGCCCAACTGGAAGGTTGGCGTTTCTGCATCTCAATTCTTGCATCTATTGTACTGATGTCCGAATAGAAAATTGTCAACCTCATGCTCGTGGTTGTACATGCCTGTATGGCAACCTTTATAGCCGCAGCAATTATTCCAGCATTTCCAGAGCTCGCTGAAGACTTGGGTGTCTCCCTCCAGCAAGTTTCATACCTCACCACACTTCAGATTGCCTTCCTAGCAGTAGCCCCTGCGATTCACCGGCCATTCGCCAATACTTTCGGTCGACGGCCTATGTTTCTTGTTTCGTTGCTTGTCAGTATGCTTGGAAATATTGGCTGTGCCAAGAGTACTTCCTATGCTGCGATGGCTGCCTGTCGAGCCATCGTTGCCTTCTTCATTAGTCCAGCCGCGGCCCTTGGCAGTGGTGTCGTGACTGAAACGTTTCTCAAGAAACACAGAGCTCGATGCTTAGGCATCTGGACCCTAATGAGCATCCTCGGTGTTCCACTTGCACCTCTCATTATGGGGTTTATATCCGCCGCTGGGGGGTACCAATGGATCTACTGGACGCTAGCGATTGTAAGTCAACTCCCTATTGACCTCTCGTACACAATTTCTCGCCAATTCTTTCTCTCCTTGCAGATCAACGGCTTGCAGCTAGTTGCCTACCTTTTTCTTGGGCCAGAAACTCTGTACGTTCGCGGCGCCAATGAACCCAAAGGCTCTTCTTTCAAGAGAAAATATCTCATCTTCAAACGTATCCATCCCCGCCCGCTGTCGCTCAATGATTTCATTCACCCCTTTGGGCTCTGGTGCAGGATCGGTGTCGTACTTCCTACGGTTGCCCACGCCATGGTGTTCCTTTTCTGCAACACGCTGATTGCTGTTGAAATACCTAACCTGTTTGGAGAGAAGTTCGGGTTCAATTCCCAGCAGCTCGGTCTCCAGTTCATCGGTATGATCGTAGGCCACGCCCTAGGTGAACCTATCAGTGGGACACTGAGCGACTATTGGATGAACAGGCGTTTGAGGAAAACTGGATGCAAGGCGCGACCTGAATACCGGCTTTGGTTCAGCTACCTAGGGTTTATGCTTGCAATTGCGGGCGTGGTGGTTTTCTTAGTCCAGATCCAGCTGGCCCCTCAGGGTTATTGGAACATCACCCCAGTGATAGGTATTGCGCTTGCGGGTGCTGGAAATTTGATTGCGACCACGGTTCTCATTACTTACGCGGTTGATCGCCATCCTCAGGAAGCAGCCAGTATCGGCGTCTTTGTGACTTTTGTCCGCCAGGTATGGGCTTTCATTGGCCCCTTTTGGTACGTGACTCCATGATCCCCGACATGCTTTCTTTTTTGAGCAATTCTTGGTCTAACAAATCACAGGTTTCCTCCCATGTTTACGAGTGTTGGTCTCATTGCATCAAGTGGGATTGCTACTGGTCTCATTGTAGCTGTCAGTGTAATACCTACGATTCTCATACACTGGAGTAGCCGGTCCCGCCAGGTACAAGAAAAGGGAAGTGGAGTATCGAGAAGGGAGAATTCGGAACAGGAGGTAATGACAGAGAAATAGAAGAGTCGGCGTATGCTACTGCCAGAAAGATGTTTCTACCAACCTAGAAAAGTTCCCCTAGCTCAAAGGGCTCATTTCAAGTCGCTCAATAATAAGAATAATGCACTAAATGGTAACAAATGACTTTCTGTAAATGCATAGAGAGCAGACACCTCATCCTCATGCGTCGCAGCAGCTGACATCAGATCCAGTATGACTTATACGTGACAGACCGGCACTGATAGCAATATCTACAGTCGGTGCACTCAGGTTAAATGTATGTTTTTAATCTTCGATGCTTTTGTCCTCCCAGATGCTGAATTGGCCTCGGTTAAATTATGGAAGACTACCATGTTAGCCTGTTAGGGTTGGTGGAGTACAAGAGTAATGGGCCATTCAATTCTAACTCTATCATTACCTCATCTTCAACCATGACATTTTGGATACTATGCCAACTCCTTCTCATTTTAGCATAAGTCGTAGCCATGCGACCCTCAACGGCGTGTTTGAACTGTAGAAGTTCTAAGCGCAGATGCGATCGCGCAGACAGCTCAGCAGCATGTTCCCAGTGTGTTCAGCGAAACTTGCAGTGCCCAACTACAATCACCAGCCCCCAACTTTCAAGAACATCAGATGTTCGAGATCCTCGGCGCTCTAGTCAGTCATTCCATACAAGAGACGAGAGGATGTACTTGGTAGACCTCTACTTTCGCTTTGTTCATGACTCCCCTCACAGCCTCTTCCATGAGCCCACTTTTAAAGCCAGTGTTGCAGACGGTTCAGTGTCCAAACCTGTTCTCCTTGCTATGCTAGGTTTGTCTGCAAGGTACGTCATATTTTCCAGTCTCGTTTATCAGAAGCCACGTAACAGTTCTAAGAGGAGTCCAGGTTTGCTACAGAGTCTGATATTGTTGCTCGTGGGCCAATGTATCGCGCTCAAGCTACTGCAGCATTAAAGGAAGACTTGGAACATATTTGTATCGAGAACATCCAAGCTTGTATTCTCGTTGGGAACAACTTCTTCGGCGAAGGAGACGCAGATGCTGAGTCTCTGTATTTTGGTTTGTCCTTGGCTCTGGGTCTCTCTTGAAAGCTTATCTAACTGTCAACCAGGACTTGCAAGTCGAATGACTCAAATCTTGAAGCTGGGTGAGATTGACGAAAATGATGACGGCGTGATGCGAGAAGTCAAGAGACGTATATTCTGGACGTGCTTCATTATCGACACTTGGGCTAGTGGGGGTTCTAACCTCTCACCGCAGTTCAGATGGGGAACCAAACAACCTCGAGGACCACTCGACGAATACATGTTCTACAACATGAGATCGGGAGATGGAGACGTCGCAGACTTAGAGTGGAAGCCTGGGTTGTGGGCTCACATGGTCAGACTGGTTGGGTTATATGCTGAGATACAGAACCTCCAGCAAGAACTCGCGAATGGGGTTGAGTGGAACGAATCCTCTATAGATGAGTCAGTGCAACGACTTGAAGCTGAGCTCAGGGCTTTCGAGGAGGGTTTGGGCCCTGGATTGGTGTTCTCAAGGGAAAACCTGGTTTCTTTCGTCAGGCGTGGCTTAGGGCGCGTCTTCATTGCCTTTCATCTGGGCTATCATCATTATTATACGCTTTTATTTTACCAATACCTCGACCATCGTCGACCGCCGACAAGAAACGGCCGCAAGTACGCTAGCTCCTGCAAAGCGCATGCTGCCATTGTATGCGACGTTCTCAAGGCCTCCCGAGAGGTCCCCGGAGCCGAAGCGCTCTACAACATCGTGGGACATGTGACAATCGTGTCCTCGTCGGTGTTATTGCACACATATCTATTCGGAGAGTCTCATGAGCTTGAGGAGTCAAGAGACCGGCTGAGTTCAAACCTCGAATCCTTGGTACAACTGAGAAATTACTGGCCCAGCGTGGAGATGATGGTAAGTTCATTTCCCGTGTTGCTCGACGATATCTCACCAGATGTAGATCAAACGACTGGTTGTCTTTCAGAAGAATTGCATTCAATCAATGAATGCAGAGTCTTACCGATTCGACAGGTGGATGGTCAAGTTTCTCATTGCTCACGCACTTGCTCTTGAAGACAAGGTGGATGATAGCTGGTCAGCTGCCAGCGTGGATGCAACAAACGGAGATGCCCATCTAGAGCGAGGTCGTATCACTCAAGCCATGATTATGGATATACAAAACTACGATACAGAGACATGATGCGTTACTAGACAGGCTTGTTTTTCTTGATGAGCATCGTGCCATCCGTCAGACAATGAGCAAATCCTGTCTAGTGACGCAACGCGACGCGACGCGACACTGTTGTCAATGGGGTGAACGGATTAGGGTGTCCAATTAGTAAGAGAATGCCGTGTAAACAGCCGAAGTAGACGGGGAACTTAAAAAGACGATGACCAATCAGAGCAAATCAAAGCCGTAGCACTTAGTTGTCCAATCAAATGGCGTCAAAGCCGGGGCTAGCCGACCCCCTCATCACTTAGCCTGAGATCCCTGCTTTGCCAAACGCGACCCGACACCACGAGTTGGGGCAGCCAATGTCGAATGAACAAGGTAAAAACAGGACATGACGGGACAAGGAGAAATATTGCAGCTGGAGCCGAGGTCAAACACTGGTTCTTCTTGAAGTATAGGGCAAGTTCTGAGCAATCAATTGTGGAATGATCGTCGGTGATGTGCCTTGGAACCTGGACATGAATGCTTACCCTGCAAGAGAAATTTTATTTTTAGGTTAACTGCATTTATGAGATCCGATATGCATTACAAATAGGACAAAAGCTAAATAAAAACATTTGATTGTAAACAAACTTAAGATATACCTAAAGTCCTAAATAGATTTGATCATGACAAGTTATGACCGTGAATTGAGAGCAACGACATGACATGCCAAGACAGCTGATGCCTGTCTACACCATTGGAATCTGCTTTCCATAGATCGCCTCAAACATCCTTGACATTGTCCTTCAATCCATTCTCAATGGCATAAGCCTCTTCAGCCCGACGCTCAGCAAGAGTGACATACGTGCGGAATTGGCGTGTAGGCACCTTATTCATGAAAAGCTCGTCTAGCTCCTCATAACTTCGCATCCGAGTCTCGGGCACAAAGAAGAATGCCATGACAGCAAATATAACCATAAAAGCACCATATACAAAGCCAATCTTTGCCTTGAGATTGCCATAACCAGGGTTGAACATGTAGGGAGCGACAAACGACCACATGGTGTTGACGGCGGAAGAGACAGAGATGGAAATGGCAAGGGTCTTGGTTCGCAGGACAGACGTGGGGATCTCTCCTGCAAGGGTGTACACGGTCGATCCAACACCGACATTATAGAAGAAGTTGTACATTGTGTAGAAACCAACAGAGGCGGTGACAGCAGCGGTGGTGTTGACTGAACCAGAGATTCCCATACAAATGAGAAGCAGAGAGAGGCCAATGCATCCAGCGAGGTACATGGGTCGACGGCCATAAAAGTCGCCAACAAGGAAAGCGATAGTGGCCCCGGACATGGAGAGAATTTGAGCGCCGATCTGAATCTCGAAGGACTTCTTGTCGCTGATTCCAAGGTACTGGTACATGAGAGCACCATAATTGGAGACAAACCCAAGACCGGACATGGGTTCAGAAAGGAACACCATAATGGCGATGAGAGATCGTCGAAGGTTGGTGCCTTTGAAGCAATCAAGGTATGAGCCAAGATTCTGCGAGTCAGCTTCTTCGAGGGTCAACTTGATACGTTCAAGATGGCCAGACGCGTCTTCCGGGTCCGAGTACATGCGCTCAAGGGCCATGCGTGCCTTTTCCATCTTGCCCTTGCGGACCAGGTAGACAGGGCTCTCAGGCATGAAGAGCTGCCCGATCAGAGCGACACCGGCAAAACCCCATTGGGCAACGATGAGAGACTGCCAGGACCAGTTGGATTCCCACTGGGAGCTGAAGTTGGAGAGGATGGCCGAGATGAAGGGACCAATGCATTGAGCAAGATTACAGAATCCGATGGTGGTAGACCGAATGGCCAGTGGCGAGACATCAGCTACGTATGCCGTGCAAAGGTTCTGGAAAGCGCCAATTGCGACAAAGTTGACCATCTTGCCAGCGAAGAACATTTCGATCGATGTAGACGCGAACTCAACGCCAACGGATCCAATATTGATGGCAGCTGCAATCAGAATGACCGGCTTGAAGCCGATCAGATCAGCAAAGTATGATGAGGCCCAGGCTCCGAAGATGGCAGCGCCGTTGGAGCCTCCGCTAAGCGCAGATTGCCAGCTCGTCTCGATAAAGTATGAACCGTCGTCGAGTTGTTTTCCGAATCGCTCTTTGAACACGGGAATGCTGATTACAGAACCGGAAGACTGGTTCTCGAAGCCGCGAACGATCAGAGTCCAGAGCATGACTCCGATCCATAGGAGCAGCCATGGGTCTCTCCGGAGGGTCTGGAGGTAGGTTCGACTGTGCTCTTGGTGCTGAATGGCATGGCCGCGTGTATGGTCTGGAGAGACGTGGAGGGTCTTGGAGTCTGATCGCTCAACGTGAGCGGTTGATTCAGGCTTCTCCATTGGGAGGCAGGATGATGACTAGAGACAAAAAATTGGTATGAGGGTCAAGAGACAGACAGTGGATCTTGTGGAGAGTGATTGGGAATAGATGTTGGCGACAGCAGACGATGCATCTTATATAGCAAAGAGAGTGTTGTCATTGGCATCGCGGTACAAAGATCCCCGGATGGAAAAGCTTCTCCAACCTGCTGGTACACCAAAGTGCGGGGCCCCAGATGGGGAGAAAAAGTGAAGGGTGGACTGAGACAAGGGTCTAGACCAGAAAGGGGAGGCTATCGCAATCCAATGACGATTCGTCAAACCCGGCCTCACTACGCTAGCGCCGGCTTTGAAGGGTATTCATTGGTGAGGCGGAAATGGTTCGGTAGACCAAGCAGGAATTTGACTCGTGATCCAGGTCCTGATTCGGTTGCTGATCCGCCGAATTGAATGCATGAATATCGGGAAGGATCATCGGATCGTGCGATGAACCTGGCTGCCCATGGGCAACGTTGACTAGAATAATGAGGCGTTGAACGAATTCGGTATACGAGGGGTTTCTCGCGAGATAATACACCGAACAAGACACTACTCACATCTCAGACCATTCAATGACACGGCATTGCCGACATGGAGACATACACCAAGCATGATTCTGTGAAGGAACTTGCTAGACTTGTAATCTTACATGGCGAATGGCGAATGCTGGAGTTGAAGTCGACGCAGTATTAGATTGATCTAGTTAAGTCTCTATACCATTCGAAGCTTGTGCCTTGAGCTCTTCTTCTCTCCGAAAATCCTCAACAATCTTGGCCAAGATAAATTTGATCTCCTTCACTGGCCACTCTCCTTGCTTCTTGTAGTCTACTGTGAATGACCACTTTCCTGACCCAACAACTTCAGTTTTCTGAGCACCATTCTCACTCGGCAGGACAACTTCCATGGTCGTGCTTGGTGGCACCTCTATATCTACACGAACAACTTGCTTCTCGGTTTCATTACCCTCAATCTTCCATGAACTCGATACCTTGCCGTACGGCGTGAGATGTGACGCAGACGCCCAAGTAAAATCGCCCCCCACAACAGGTTCAACCCTCGACCTCTTCCATCCTGCTTCAAGCCGCTGCAGGCCGGCAAGTCGTTCAACCATGAGCTTGGCGATCGCCCCGTAAGCGTAGTGATTGAAGCTGGTCATCTCGCCAGGGTTAATTGATCCATCTGGCAGCATACTGTCCCAGCGTTCCCAAGTCGTAGTCGCCCCCATCGAGATAGCATATAACCACGAGGGGCATTTCTCATTCAGAAGCATGGAATAAGCGACGTTGCTGTGGCCGGTCAGAGTGAGGGCTTCGCAGACAAAGGGTGTACCAGCAAAGCCAGTACCAATGCGGAAAGCATTTCTTCGAACAATCTCCGCAAGTCGCGACCCGGCTCGTGATAGCTGGTCCTTGTTGAGAAGCTTAAAGCAGATGGCCAACGAGTACGCAGTTTGTGTGTCTGATACGAGGCGACCGCTCGGGGAGACGTATTCTTGGGTGAACTCTGCTCGCGCATTGTCGGCCCACGATCTGTAGAATAAATGATCTTTGGTCTTGCCAAGAACACCGCAGACGCGTGCCATGATGTCAAGAGAGTTGATCAAAAATGCGTTGGCTACCAGTGGAGGATCAGTTGTAGCTTTGGCAGCATCGTCTGGGGGAGCGCTTGGGTCAAGCCAGTCCTAGCAAGGTCAGTAAAAGTGGCTTTAAAAATTCGTCAAGAAAGACTTACAGAGAGTTGATCAGCGTTGAAGTCCCAAAGATGAGTGCAACGATCCTTGTTCTTGGGGATGATCTTGAACCACGTTTCCATGGACTCAAACTGATCAGCCAAGATAGCAGGATCAGCCGTTTCTTCATACAGCGCCCAAGGAGCCAAGACGACCACATCATGCCAGATGGCACAAGGCCAGACAGGACCCCAGATCCTGCATTTGTCAAGAATGTTTGGCGATACCATTGGAGGCACTCCTCCCTGTCGTTGCTGGTCAAACCATACGCCTTTGAGCCAGTCTCGGAGAATTGGGTAACAGCCGTAGATATAAGTGGCTGTTGGTGCAAACAAGGCCAAGTCGCCAGTCCAGCCAAGTCGCTCATCGCGCTGCGGGCAGTCGGTTGGAATGGAGAGGAAATTATCTCGCATGCTCCAGCGGACGTTGCTGAATAATTGGTTCAGCTTGTCATTAGAGCATGTAAAGGTTCCCTGTTCTTCCATATCGGTATGACAGACAATAGCCTCGAGGGCAGCGACTACATCTTGGTCTTCTGAAGGCCAGTTGTCAATTTGAACGTAACGGAAGCCATGGTATGTGAATCGAGGCTCGTATACCTCGGGTTCAGCATCTCCTCGGAGTGTGTAGACATCGGTGGCGTCACAGACGCGTAGAGGTCTAACACCTAGTTCTCCATTCTCGAGGACCTCGGCATGCTTAAGCGTGACTTCATGACCACGTTGTCCTCGAACAGCTTTGATACGAACGTATCCCACCAGGTTCTGACCGAAATCGAGGATGGTCTTGCCAGTTGGTGTTATGATCTTGGAAACTGGCTTCAATGTCTCAATTCGTCTGACCGGTTCACGATAACCGGCTGTCAAGTTGATCTTCTCGGGTATAAATGGCAACGCAACGGCACCCTCCCAATGTCCAGCGACGTGCTCGTGAGAGGACCAACCAGGCAACTCAACAGTAGCATCGTACTTTTCGCCATTGTAGATCTCTGCCAGGCGGATGGGGCCTTGCGCTACCATCCAGTCATCGTCAGTTGTAATGACGTGCGAAGAGCCGTCGGAGTACTGTAATTCGAGCTGTGCGAGGAGGCTTGTGCGCGTGCCATATCTGTTGCGTATACCGCCATCAAAACTCAACCTGCCAGTGAACCAACCTTCAGCAAGACGGACACCCAGACAATTGTCTCTGCTGTCAACAAGGTCGGTAACATCGTAGGTCTGATACGTTAACTCGTTGTCGTAGCAGCTCCAACCAGGCGCGAGGAAATAATCGCCGACGCGACGGCCATTAATCTCTGCCTCATAAATGCCCTGTGCAGTTATGTAGAGACGAGCTGATGCGAGGCCAGAATTCAGCGTAAATGCTTTGCGAAAGAGATCCTCTGGCTTCGGCTTATCATTGTCCTTCTCCGACCAAGGAGCCGAAATGAATTTGCCTTTCCAGTCATTTCGGTTGAGTAGGCCTGCCTCCAGCCAAGCCCGCTCGCTCCAATCAGAAAATGATGTTTCTCCCTTGCCACGAACTCGGATGCAAACCGTGTATCTTTGACGAGAAGCGATAGACTCTTCAGCTGGCCAGGGGACTAAATGGGACTCTGAGGATTCCACCTGAGAAGTGCAGACGACATGGCTTTCGTGGCCGCTGACTTTCTCCAGGCGCAGTTCATAAGCTTGCTGCTCAAAGCCTGGAGGGGCATTGATCAGACGCCATGAAATGCGTGGCTTGTGCTCATGGATACCCAAAGTGTTGGGGTGGCGATAATGCTCAAAACGAACATCAACAACTTGTAAAGACATAATGACAGATATTTGGGTTCTAAAGAGAAGACGCAATCCTTTCAAATGTGTTGAGATGCGGAGGCCACTTGACTACCACTTTTTATACCTACAGCGCTGGATGCACTAAAGCCAGTGACCCCAGACCCCCCGAGTGACGAGTGGAGGCGGTGGGTAGGCAGTTACTCCAATTTTCACTTGGCCGATCCTTCACGAGAGGATCGGTACAAGCTAGCCCGAGTCTGGAGGGGGTGCATTTATCTATCGCCTGCCGCCGGATTACCCGTGTTTCTACCTATTGACTCGCAATTTTGGCCTTCCAGGAGCCGACAGATGCGAGCGAGATACCGCACAACAAAGAGACAAATGTTCGGCCTTGGCACAAGTCAAGCTCGTTCCCTAGCCACCTAGCTACTGTAACGCCAATAATTCCCATCAACACCACGAAAAAGCCTGTCTCAAGCCATTATTTCCGATTGCTACCCTTCTGGGAAGTCTCGAGCTCCGCTAGCAATACACATCTGGAGTATGGTGACAATTATAGCTGATATGTGGGGGACGGCAATGAGAGCAAGCATAAGTATTGAAGGAGATGCCTAGCATAACACACCATGACAAGGCCAATCTCAATCTATCCTGATTTTGCAAAATATCGTCGATTGCCGTAATGCCGATTCTAAGGATAAGGTCCGGGGAGCTAAAGTAAAGCAGCTTGTGCGTCGTGGGGAAGCACGAAAGGAAGGCCGCCGCCATAAATAGAGGTCTGAACGCACGTCTAGCTGCAGCGAGCAACATCCTGAGGTGAGACATGGCATAGACGGGAGGTATAAGAAGAGAATCGATGTGCGTGGCTCGGGCCCTGTGGACTTGGTGTAGCCGACACCATCTAAAACTAACAGAAAATAAACATCTAACGTACATGATAAGCGAGTGTTACAAACAAGCGAGTGTTACAAAAATCTTAACCCTTGAGACAGGAATCGTCATGAGAACACAACAAATCACGCAATCAAGTAAAACTAATCGCTTTCCTCTTCTCCAGACATCGAAACAACTATTTGACACGTTCTCGCATTATGCCCTACCTTGCCGCACGTTCCACAGTTCCTTTCCTTTACTTGCGCCGACCT